ATGGGAGGCTGAGGTGGGGGGATCCCCCGTGCCCAGTTGGAAGCTGCAGCGACCCGTGATCACGCCACTGCACTCCAGCCTAGGCAAGGTCTTTATTAAGACCCTGTCTTAATTTTTAAAAAATAGAAAATAATAAACTGGGGGCATGGAACCTCAAGGCCGCAGTGAGGACAGCAGAACACGCCACCTAGCTCCCGCAGGAAGGACTCAGGTCTCCACGCTGGGCGTCCCAGCCTCTGCTCCTGTTTGCCCTCCCAGCCCATTCCTGGGCAGCGGAGGAGGGGCAAGGACACAGGGCAGCCCCTCCGCACCAGGCTCCCCGAGGCCATCTGGATGCTGTGGCAACATGGGCAGGAAGCGGCTTCCATGGCAACTGGCGTACAGGGAGGCGCTGCCTGGCAACGGGGCCACGCCCCCCCCCCCCCCCCACCAGCACGCCGCGCTGGCCACACACTTTCCGCCCTCGAGGCCGGGAGTTCCGGCTTTCAGCCAGTGCCCCCGCTGCCGCCACGCCCTGTCCTTCACGACATCCTGGAGCCCGGCCCCGAGGCGAACCCCCATGCACGCTCCAATCCCGGACACTGCTTGGCAGGGCTCTTGGCCTTTGTTAGCGTATCTGACCCCGTGAGTGGGGGACCCCAGGGCTGTGGATCCAGGGCCCCGTCTCTCCAAGAGTCTCCCACCTTCTGGGGCTCCGGTGATTGGCAAGGACCACAGGGAGGGGTGAGGAGGCTGGGGAGGAAAGGCTTCAGGGCTGACTGAGAGAGCAGCAGCCTGCCCGGGCCCAGGCTGGGAGCGGGCGAGGGTGTCAGGGAGCTCGGGTTTCCAGGCTGCGGAGGGTGGTGCCCAGGGTCGAGGGTGACAGGAGGACAAGGGGCCATCGGGCTGTCCCAGGCGCCCCTTCGGGGATGCTGGGGAATCTCAGCCAGGCCTGGGCACCTATGGTGGGACCTAAAGACCCTGCCCTGCTGTCCCCCAGGAAGCCAGTGTCGTCCGGTCATTACAGGAGCCACCTGTCCACACGAAGACCTCTCCCTCCTCAGCATCCTGGGCCCCCTGGGGCACCTAGCAGACTGGGGAAACACAGAGCAGGGGAAAGCTCCCCCTACTCCCTCAGGGACACACAGAGCAGGGGACAGACCCACCCCCCGCCCACTCAGGGACACACAGAGCAGGGGACAGCCCCCCCACTCAGGGACACACAGAGCAGGGGACAGCCCCCCACTCAGGGACACACAGAGCAGGGGACAGCCCCCCAACTCAGGGACACACAGAGCAGGGGACAGCCCCCCCACCCACTCAGGGACACACAGAGCAGGGGACAGCCCCTGCCCCTTCTGGTCACAGCCTCCTCCACCCCACCCCAGGGCCACCTCGCCTCAAGGCTCCTCCAAGAGGCCTTCCTCAGCCCCCATCCCAGGTTGCCCCATGGGGGTCTCTGAGCTCAGCGCATCCTGAGACCCATGACATTGCAGCAAGGAATGAACAGGGCAGAGGCCAGGGAGGGTCCTGGAGCTGCCGCCGCCCTCTGACAGCTAAGCAGACACCTCCGGCAGCCAGGGCCAGGCGTCCGTGCCTCCGCTGTGGAGGCCCACGTGGCACCGGAACAGGAGAGAGGTCATCTGCAGACAAGGTATTTCGAGACACTTCTTGAGGTGGAAGGCGGAGGCTGACGAGGCAGGACAGCCTGGCAGGAGGAAGGCGAGCGGCTGGCAAGCAGTGGCCTCGTCACTGGTGAGGGGACGTGTGCTGTGAACAGACACGGCAGGACAGCAGCGGGAGGCTGGAGGCCTCCCTCCAGGGACCTGGCTGTCCGGCTGTCTCACGTTAACCACGACAGAGGAGCGCCCGGCAGCTCCGCCTGCTTCCCTAGAAACAGGGATCGAAGAGAAGGCAAGTCAGACATTTGAGCCCCGAGTCTCACGGGAAGTTCCAAGACTAAACAAACAGAAAAGAACCACAATCGAGAAAATGCAGAAAGCACAAGATTCACCTCCCCCAAAACCCACTTTGTCCGTAAGAGCAGAACCGAATTCTCTGGAACAAGAAGAGGGGAGCTCAGGAACAATGGGGATGTCTTGGAAATGAAAAGCAGGACTGCTAAAATCCGAACCAACTTCTTCATTTTTATTCATTTATTTATTTCGAGACAGAGTCTGGCTCTGTCGCCCAGGCTGGAGTGCAGTGGCACCATCTCGGCTCACTGTAACCTCCGTCCCTGGGTTCCAGCGATTCTCCTGCCTCAGCCTCTCGAGTAGCTGAAATTACAGGCACACACCCCCATGGCCAGCTAATTTTTGTATTTTTAGTAGAGACAGGTTTCACCACGTTGGCGAGGCTGGTCTGGAACTCCTGACCTCAAGTGATCTGCCCGCCTCAGCCTCCCACTGTGCCGGGATTACAGGAGGGAGCCACCGTGCCTGGCCCCAGAACCAAGTGTTTGGAAAGCAGAGACAGCGTGTGTGTTGGATGCAGGAAAGTCTATCTACAAGCAAAGGTAGAGAAGAAGGGATCACAGCATCAACTCAAAAGGCCCCATATCTGACGGACAGGAGTTCTACGATGAGCAGAAACCGAGAAGCAATCTTATCACAGAAATGTCAGGTATCGAGGCCGAGTGTGCTCACCAAGCACCCGCAGTGGGTGTCACCCCAGAGACACAGGCATCAGAGGGCTTCTTGCAGATAGACAAGGAGTTCAAGACCTGCCTGGGCCACGTAACGAGAGCCCCATCTCTATAAAAAATTTAGAAATTTGCTGGGCATGGTTGCACACACCTGCAGTCCCAGCTACTTGGGAGGCTGAGGGGGGAGGATTGCTTGAGCCCAGGAGTTGGAGGCTGCAATGAGACAGCACTGTGCCACTGCGCTCCAGCCTCGATGACAGAGCAGGACCCTCTCTCACAAGCCCTGCAGGCTTCCAGGAAGAAGACCAGCTCCCAGCACCAAGGACCACGACCGGCCTTCCAGTGCTGGGGGAAACGCCCTCAGCCCTGATTCTTTCCCCGGCCCAGTGTCTAGCAGGTGTGAGGTCAGGGTAAGATGCTTCTAGGCCTGTGAGCCTTCTCAGTATCTCCTCCCACATCACGGCTCACTCCAAAACTCAGTGGCAAAACCACGTGACTGCCTGGGGCTCGGCCGTACGTGGCTGCAACTTGGCTGGCCGTCTGGGCCCGTTCTCTGGGGGTCTCGCTGGGCTTGCCCACCCATCTTCAGGCAGCTGGGGACCAGCTGGGATGACAGAAGCCTCTCCTGTCCCGTGGCCTCTCATCCTGCAGTCCAGCCCAGGCCTCCTGCACAGAGAACAGTCCCCAGAGCCAAGCAAGAGAGGTCCAGGCCCAGCACACGGGGGTCGTGCCAAATAACTGTCCACAGCCGCTTAGGAGCAGCCACTGGCCAAGTGCATCTGAGGCCGGTCCAGAGTCCAGAGGTGGAGAGCGGGCCCCGCCTCTTGATGTAGGAGGTTGAGTCACCTTGCAGCGGGGCCAGGACACTGAGAGAAGAGGGAACTGGGCTGTTCCTCCCACATGAGAACTCCTGGGAGCCAGCTTTCTGAGGGTTCACTGAGGGCTGAGGGGTTCGAGAAGGAGGAAGGCACCGGCACAGGGACTCTGAGGGGCAGTGAGGGGCAGTGAGGGGCAGTGAGGGGCAGTGAGGGGCAGCGGGGCCAGCGGTGTGAGGAGCACCAAGGAGCAGAAGGGAACGGGCCCCTATGTGAATCTGGCCCCCGCCACGCGGTGGCTTGGTTGTAACAGCCGCATGGCCTTCGGCGAGTGACTAAAGGGCTTCCTGCCTCAGTTTCCCCACCTGTAAACCGAGGATAACGATGGCATGTACTGGATCTGGCATAAAGTAAATGTTCAATACGTAGCCAGAAAAGAATGGTTTAAAAACCTCAGAGAGCCGGGCGCGGTGGCTCACGCCTGTAATCCCAGCACTTTGGGGGGCCGAGGTGGGTGGATCACGAGGTCAAGAGATCGAGACCATCCTGGTCAACACGGTGAAACTCCGTCTCTACTAAAAATACAAAACATTAGCTGGGCATGGTGGCGCACGCCTGTAATCCCAGCTACTCAGGAGGCTGAGGCAGGAGAATTGCCTGAACCCAGGAGGCGGAGGTTGCGGTGAACCGAGATCGCGCCATTGCACTCCAGCCTGGGTAACAAGGGCGAAACTCCGTCTCAAAAAAACAAAACAAAACAAAACAAAAAAACCTCAGAGATACATTCGGTGAAAAGAAAGCTGGGCTGCAGGACGACCTCTTCCGTGTGAACAAGGGGCAGGGGACAGCAGCCCATCTCCAGGAAGCGCTTAAAGAGGAGGTTCCTGGCTGCAGGGACAGGAGACGCAGTCGGGAAAGGCTCAGATGGCATTTTTATTGTTCGATATTTTTTGAATACACTCTGTGTGTGTGTGTGTGTGTGTGTGTGTGTGTGTGTGTGTGTGTGTTTCACATTTAAGAAAAATAACTAGGTGGGTGCAGTAGCTCATGTCCATAATCCCAACAATTTCAGAGGCTGAGGCAAGAGGATCACTTGAGGCCAGGAGTTTTAAGACCAGCCCGGGCAACGTATCAAAAACCCAATCTCTATTAAAAAATCTAAAAATTAGCCAGACATGGTTGCACACACCTGTAGTCCCAGCTCCTTAGGAGGCTGAGGTGGGAGGATGGTTTGAGCCCAGGAGTTGGAGAAATGAGATCATCGTGCCACTGCACTCCAGCCTGGATGACACAGCAAGACCCTCTCTCATCAAAAGAAAGAAAAAGAATTCACTGGTGGGTCAGTGGGTCAGAGGCAGTGAGGTCACCAGGCAGAGGAGCTGCAGGACCAGGTGGGAGGGGCCCATTGTGACCTCCCTGGCCTCACCTAGGCCTTTGTGACTGTGGCCTGGGGCTGCTTGGGAGCCACTGGGTCGCCCAGAGTGCCCCTCAATAAGAGGGTGGCAGGTTGGGCCAGGCCAGAGCCTGGACCTGGGGTCAGGAAGGGGTTGCAGGGAGGGATGGAGGGACTGAAGACCCTGGGCCCCTGTGGTCACCCCCACCCCCAGTGTCCCCCAGCCCCAGCCCCAGCCTCCAGCAGCCATGGAGGATGCCTGGGGCATCCCTGCCGGGGGTTTGTAGGGTGGCCCTCCCTGGGCCCCATCTCCTCTGCTCCCTTAATGCAGTCCCAGAGACCTTTCCCAGTCCCAGAGGCAGAGGACAGGGGGCCCAGGGTGGAGGGTGAGACTCCCGGGACCTTTCTGTCTAGCGAGGAGCAGAAAACCAGAGACCCTGAGGGGCCAAGACAAGGAGTCCCAGAGACGGGGCTCCGGTGGGCCTGGCCCCTGCACCCAGGGACAAACCAGGGGGCTTCCAGGCAGGGGGCATCCACTGGCTTGGGGCCCAAACCCCGCCCATGCCCACCCCTGTCGCCGGAGGGAGGGGCCCTGGCCTCGCCCAGGGCAACCCTCTCCCAGCTGCAGTGCGGGCTGCTGGGCTCTGCAGAACAGTCCTTCCTGCAGCTGGAACAGGAGAACCACAGCCTGGTGAGCACCCCACTCACCGCCTGGCACCCCTGCCCCAGCCCCAGGAGTGGCCATGACAGGCAGTTCCATCTCTCGGCACCCCCATTCCCAGAAAAGGCAGAACCAAGACCTTCGGGAGCAGCTGGGGGCCCTCCTGGGGCCAGGGCAGCAGTTCCTGCCCCTGTGTCCCGAACACTCAAGCTGTACCTCCCTGGCCTGGGTAAGTGCAGGGCCTGGGGACCCATGCAGCCAATGCCCCACTAGCCCACGGCCTTGGGGCTGATCTGGGGGCTCTCCCACAGACCCCAGAGCCGGCCAGCACGCAGCCCCTGGGGGACAGGGTGCCTCTACAGCTGTGCCAGCGGCAAGAGGCCTTCGTGCAGCAGTCCCAGGTGGGCCTCGGTTGGGGGGAAGCTGCGGGGGGAGAAACCCGAGCACCGCACTCCAGGTGGGCTGGGGGGGGGTTGGTGGGGAGGGGGTCTTATGCAGCAGGCCAGCGGGCCTGGCAGGGAGGTACCAGCCCCCCGCTGATGCTGCCCAAGCCCACCCTGGGCCCCACCCTCAGAAGGAGCTGCAGCAGATCCGCCTGTGCTTTGAGAGGAAGAAGATGGTCATCACAGAGGTGCCCACCGGGCTGAGGGGGAGGGGTGCTGGGGGTCCACCCGGTGGGTCCTGCTCCTCAGGCGTGACCCCACCTCCCCCCAGGTGTGGGACAGCGTGGCTGAGGTGCACACGGCCCTGAACAACCAGGCCGCCGGGCTCCTGGTAGGTCCCCACAGGGCAGAACCCGGAAGGACGGAGCAGGAGGGTAAGAAGCAGGGAGGGCAGGGCGGGGGGCTGCTGTGCTTACCTCCTCTGGCCCCCAGAACCTCAAGAAGGACATCCGGGGCGTGCTGGACCAGATGGAGGACATCCAGCTGGAGATTCTGGGGTAATGTGGGGGCGGGGGCCGGGCCAGCTGAACAGGGTCTCAGAAGATGTCCTGGTCAGGATGGGGGAGACCCATCCTTGACCCCCCCACCTCCACAGCACCGAGCCAGGGGGTGGTGCCGGGCTGGGGGTGGAGGGCACGGGGTCCTGACAGTAAGGCCCCTGCAGGGAGCGGGCCCAGTGCCGCAGTCAGGCCAGGAAGGAGCAGCAGATGGCAAGCATGGCGGTGAGCCCCCCACACCCCACTCCGGATCTGGAAGCCAGGGCCCTGCCCGCAGGAGTGGGAGAAATGGGCTCCAGCAGGCCAGGCCCAGGGCAGGAGGGCAGCTGAGAAGTGGCTGCAGGAGCCTGTCCGGGAAGGGGCCAGGGCTGTGGTGGGGGACCCCTGTCTAAGAGGGTTTCCCAAAGCCAGGGATTTCCCCCCTCTTCGGTCTGTACCCTTGGGGTGGGCTCTGATCCAGCCCCTCCCCGACAGAAAGGGAGGCCAAAGCTGGAAAGCTCCAAGGGCCTGGCAGGCCAGCTCTGGTAGGTGACTGCGAAGCAGAGCCCAGCCCCCAGGCCCCCTGCGCGCCCCAGCCCCTGACCACCGCCGCCCGCAGGCTGCTGACCCTGAGGCTGCTGCTGGGGGCCCTGCTGGTCTGGACCACCGCCTACGTGTACGTGGTGAACCCCACACCCTTCGAGGGGCTGGTGCCACCCCTGCTGAGCCGCGCCACCGTCTGGAAGCTCCGGGCCCTGCTGGGCCCCTTCCTGCGCCTCGAGGTGGACGGCTTCCTGCCCTTCTAGGCCGGAGGCCAGGTGGCCCCAGTGAGGAGGAGGCCAGGCGGCCAGCACTGTCCCAGATGCCCAGTGGCCGTGCCAGCCCCCTGCCCATGGCACCACTGTGCACCGTCCAAGCCAGGAGCTGCAGAGAAGGATGGAGGCGGGGTCTGTCCTGAGGGCTGGGCCTGCAGCTGGACATAGAGTCATGACATACGTGGCCTGTGAGCATGTCTCTGTGGAAATCTGGGAAGGGACGCCCCGGCGATCCAGCAGCAAGGGTCCCTCGGGGTGGAGACCCCAGCCTCAGGGCTGGCTTCCCACCCACTTCCCACCTGCCCTCCAGAAGGCAGGCCCTCCACATGGGGCTGTGACGCCGCCAGGGCATCTTAAGAGGGTCTCCCCTGAAAGAAAACAGCAGGACTGGGGGGTCCTCAGGTCTCCCCCCCAGGCCAGGCCCTCCTGGAGACCTCGAAGGGCAGGTTTTCAGCGCTGAGCCTGCTGGCCGACTGACCCCATGCCCCTCAGGCCGCTCCCCTCCCCGCCTGGCCTGCACCCGCCCTGCCCAGGCCCTGTTGCCTCCCCGACCCGGGGCCCAGTCCCGTCCCGGGGACCACATCGGTAGACAAAGCTATGGAGATCAACACCAAAAATTTTATTTGGAGAATTGGCAGGGGTACCCTTAAGAACAACAGCTTTGTGGCTTTCTCGTCCCAAAATGGGAGAAATAGAGCCACAGCCCAGGGTGGACCCAGGGACGGGGACCCTGTGCCAGAGCAGGGCTGGCCAGAGTGCCGCCGTGCTGCAGGCCGTGCCAACTGCTGGAGGGCCATGGGCCCTCCCCTCCCAGCAGCATCGTCTCTGGGTGCACACAGCCCCAGTGGGGCCTGGGCAGAGCTGGCCACGACCACAGGACCTCGGTGGCAGGCAGGGGTCAATGGCTCACCAGGCTGGCGGCTCCAGGAAGTTAAGGCATCTGTTCATGTGTCAGGGGAAGGGCAGGAGGAGTGCAGAGACCTTCGGGCACAACCTGAGACCCGCCCCCCCAGCCCAACCCCTGGAGGCCTGGGCTTAGTCTAAAGTGCTTGGTCAGGCAGGGAGGCTGGGCAAAGGTCGTGCTGGTCCCCACAGCGCTGCGGCTGCCCCTTTGGGTGCTGGGCCCCCTGCAGCAGGTGAGGGACTCCCTGAGGTCACATGGACACAGGGTCTCAGGCCCTGGCAGCCTGGGAGTCTGTCAAGCTGTGGCTGGTGGAGAGGAGAGCCCAGCCCACCCCCAGCCCTGCCCCAGGGTCCATGGCAGCCTGACCTCCCGGGTCCCCAGCTAGGCTGTCCCGGGCCCCAGACCCGCCTACTTCTCATCCTGCTAGGGCCCGGAGAGGCTGGGGAAAAGGCTGGAGGCAGCCAAGTGCAGGCGGCACATGGCCCCTCGTGGGGGCGCCCCGGCAGCTGGGCTCCAGGGGGCCCGCAGTGGTGGGCGGTCCTCCGGACGGCCAAGGTGGCACAGGTGCAGCCCAGGGGGCACCCAGGGCTGGCCACGCCGCCCCCATCCACGGGTGCAGGTGCCAATCCGCCCCCTGCGGGCCGCGGCATCCGTGAGAGAGAAGCAGAAAGGTGGAGGTCAGCATGGCGCAGCTTCGGGGCCCTGCAGCCCTCACACCTCCCACGCGGGGACAGCCCCAGCCCAGGCCGCCTCAGCCCCAAACAGCTGTGAATCCCTCACACTCCCTCAGCCCTGCCCCTGGCATTTGGCAGGCAGGAGAGTTCCAGCAGGTTCAGCGGCCCCCACAGGGTCCTGAGCCAGCAGGTGGTCCCTATGCACCCCCATTTCATCTCCCCAAGCTCTTGCGTCCTGGGACCCCCCCTGTAGGGAGCGGCAGACCCAGGTCTTTCCCCCAAACACCTTGTCACTGCCAGAAATGGCACAGATCCAAGGCTAGAGACCCTCACACTTCCCAGCCACGGACCATCGGCCACCCCTTCCTCCCAGGCCCCTGGCTCAGCCCAAGTCGGCAGAAATGTCCCCAAGGACCCCATGACCCCTGCGCACCAGACAGCAGCCACCCTCTTCTGAGGCCCGGCCCCTGCCCTCCCCTGACTCTGGGGGTCCTGCAGCATCAGCCCTGGCCTTGCCCAAGGAAAGAATCAAAGTAACTCTTTTTCTTTTTTTAATAAAATTATAGATATATAGATGTAGATATAAAAACATAAAACAGACACAACGCAAGCGGACGCTGTCGTGTGCTTGCTCTCGGGTCCCTGACGCCAGGGGAAGCGCTGGCCTCCCAGTGTGCTTTCCACAGGGCGCGAGCACCACGGCCAGCCCAGGGCTGGGGACTCCGCATGCCTGGGGGCGGGGATTCTCCAGTTTGGCAGGGAGGGCCTGAGGGCTGGGGAGGGGGCTCTGGGTGTCACCGGCCCCCTGTGGCAGCATCACCCCCATGCCTGCTCCCGCCTGCCCCCCGTCGCCTCCCACAAGAGCATAAAGCAAAGGTTAAGGCTTTGATGAAAGGGACAGCGGCGGCTGAGCACTGACACGTCACACGGCGCGGCCACACGCGCAGCAGCACGGCACACAGACACGGACACGAGCCCGCCTGCCGGGCGACACGGGACACACGGAGCCGGGCCCCGCCACAGCCGGCTGGCTGTCCATCTGTCCCCTATCCACCACCACCCAGAGCAGGCCAGGGCAGAAGCATCGGCCTTGCCAAGCTACAAGCTTCCAGCGGGGTCCGTGAAAGGCAATGCGTTAGGAGTAGCTTGGCGGGGGACCCTTGGTCCGGGAGCCCACAGGGTGTGTCAGAAGGATGGTGGGGGCCCTGGGGGCCTCTGTCCATCTCTGGGACCCGTCTGTAAGGGGATCGTTGGGGGCTGGCCTGGCAATGATCTGGGGTGCATGGGTGATAGGAGTGGGCCCAGTCCTGGCTGAGAGGGTGCCTCGAAGAGCCTGACTGGGCCCCCTCAGTGCCCCAGCCATGGGACAGGCCCAGACACAGACCAGCCCAGTGGCCCCTGGCCCAGGGAGCCAACTTCCCCACGGTCAGATGAGTGGATGGACAGGCAGGGCGCTTGGGGCAAGCTGTGGAGGCGTGGCTCTCTCTCCCGCCGAGGGCTCCACCCCCGGCTGGGGTGGCCTCCTGTCCCTGGGGCAGAGAAGTCGGTGGGGAGGGGGCGCGCTGCGGGGTCCTGGTCCCCGTGGCACCACAGCGGATGGGTGGCGGTCAGTCCTCACACCGAGATCTCGTACGTGGTCCCACCCACGCCGGACACCTTCTTAACCAGCGTGTGCCGCGCAGGGCTGGCAGAGGGCCCTGGGGGGCCGGTGGCAGGTCCCAGCCGGGCCGGGCCCGGGGACTGCCCATTAAGCTTACTTGGGGGAGTCTTCAGCTGAGAGTGACCCCTGCATGAAAACAAGCACATACGCGCACACACACGGTGAACACGGGGACACGTGGGGACAGCAGACGGAGGATGCAGCAGGACAGACGACGGATGTGGACTGGTGCAGCAGCGTGGTGGGGCCCCCGGCAGCCCCTGTCCCCTGGGCTCAGAGGGTTCACCCAGAAAGCAGGCAGGGCCCCAGAGGCTGCCGGGGGAGTGGCTGTGCCATCGCAGGACAGACAGATATCGTCACAACTGCCACCACCCTCCCGAGTCCCTGGGTCCCTCTTAACTGGCACTGGCCACAGAGAGCATGGGGCAGCCAGGTGGGCACTAAATGGAGCCCCTGCCCTGTGCTGTGAGCCCGGCCCTTCTGCCAGGCCTTACGCTGGCTCTCTCTCAGGAAAACAAGGGGCTGCCCTCCTGCCCAGCAGCGCTGACTAACAGCATCTCTATCCTTGCTGCTTAAAGCTTCTCCAGGCGAGCGCCCTTTGTCCCCAGCCTGCGGTCCCTGCCTGGCGGCCATGCTGCCCACCTCTAGATCTCAGCTTCTCCATTCCTCACACCCAATGGCAGCCTGCTCCCTGACCCCACAAAAGCTGAGCAGACCCCGAGCCTGTGGAGTAGGGGGCCCTGCTCAGGGCCGACTGCTGGGCCCTCATCCCTCTGTGGCCAGGTGGACGGGGCTGGGCCGGGCTGACGCCCGGGGCCGCGTCTGCCGACGGCAAACCACTGAGCCTGTGCTTGAGGTCTCCAGGCCCGGACAGGGCCACGGGTGCCACGAAGACACTGTGCGTCAGTGGTGTGGGTCCTGGCCCCGGAGGTGTGCAGTTCTCCCAGCTGGGCCTGGGCCTGTGAGGCAGCTGACCCTGCGGTCCCAGTTACCAACCTGCTGGGTGCCTGCAGCCAGCCTGCCTTCCCTAGTCAGTTTCCCCACCTATGAGCAGGGAAGCCCCTGCTTCCTGGAACTATGTGCTATAGGGAGGGCCAGGGCCGGGCCACCCAGGGTCACACGTTCTACTGCTAGGTCATGTCCTCAGCCCCAGCCTCCTAGAGATCCAACAAAGAAGGCCCAGGGAGGGCCCTGGTGGACAGGGACAGTGTGACCCAGGAGGTCAGAGCCACAGCCTAGAGGAGCCCCAGGCTGCCGCATGGCTCCAGCCCCAAGGAGAAAGCCCCACAGCCCTCCCACACGCTGGGTCTGTGCCAGCTCTGGAAGAACGAGTCGTTGGGCTCAGGACACAAATTCTCATACCCTGTCCCCAGGGCGTGCCCAGGACGTCCTCAGAGCTGGGCCACACGGCAGGGTGAGGCGCATCCGCCCTGTCCCGTCCCCAGAGAAAAACACAGGCCCCTGGGATGACCTCTGAGTGCCCAGCCAAGAGGGGCCCTGCAGACGGCTGGACAGCTGCCCTGTAGCAGGAAGCCCACCCGCACCTCCCAGCACCCACCTCTGCATGGCCAGCGAGGGCGGCGGCTCTGGGAGGTCCGTGTGGATGAAGGCGACAGCTTTGGGGCCTGCGTAGGACGGTGAGTGGGGAGTGCCGGGCGGGGAGGGCAGGCCCTGGCGCGCGGGCGACCTGTGTGAGCCACTGCTGGGCCGGGGCCCCGGGGCGCTGCTGCTGGCCTGATCAGCCTGCAGGGAG